AGTAAAGAGGGTTAGGAGAAGGGTTAGGGTATGAAGTTGAAGCAGGAGGCACTGCAGGCTGTTGGGGCTGATAAAGAGCTGGTCCCCCTGTTCCAAAAGAATACTGCTGGGTTGGCTGATATGCTACATAAGGGAAGAAATGGGAGAGAGTTAGTCAGTAAACACATCATGTTAATATTTTTAGATTTGGAAAAAGCTACTCTCCTCAAGTTTTGATGGCCCATTTCCTCTTCCTGACTAAGATCACATCTTTCTTTCTGATTTGATCTGAATGGAAGCCTTCAGCCTCAGACAAGCTTGACAGCTTTCTGGACAGAAAAAACACTGTTACAAAAGAAGCCTGCCTTGTGTAGCAAGCTTGAGCTTCTGATATTGGTGGGGTCTCTCCTGAGCTAGCTGTGGGTCTTGCTGCTAGTAGGTGATGAACTAGGTTTCCTACTTGTGTAAGGTAAGGATGGTAGCTTGGCCCTTTCTGTGGCTGAGTTTCAGACTGTACCCATCTCAGATTTCCTTAGTGGAAGTATTCACATCCTCCTTTCCCCTTCCTTTTGAATTACCTTTGTGGCGAGCCATTTCCTACAACGATCCAGTGCTTGTACCCTCAGCGTCACTTTATTTTGACTTCTTATTGGAAGCAGGGAAAATTACTTACTCTGGAACCAGGCCCCTGACTATCAGAGGGCTATCTGCTTCTTGACAAGAACTTTTAACTGTAAAACACACTCAGAATGAACACTAAGGGAAACATTTTAGAGAGATCAGGGTCTGTTTCTCCGAGAAACTTCCAGAACAATAATGTAGTCCCCACATTAAGCCTCTGATGCAGGGAAGTACTGTTTCTGTTTTACAACTGAGCAAAGAGAGAGAGAAAACAACATGGCCTGGATTTGTTAATTCTCGTCTGCTCCCTCCAAATTTTTTCTTCATTCTCTTTCCTTCCTTTTCTTCTACTCCGTCTTCTTCAAGCTCAACTGTAATAGTTTGTTTTAAATACTGGAGCAGCTTCCCTTTGCTAGTTTGTATTCACCCAAGCCCTTATCTATCATCTCTTTCCTTACTTGCTTTCCTTCTTGATGTTTACTTTTTCTCTTTGGAACCACTCTATATGAGTTCTACTAGGCTAGCTTCCTTTTAAATAACTCAGTGCCACTGGGTGAAGCAGGTGGCTCTGGTTGGACTCATCTACAGAGATTGGTCCTCTGAGTATCTGAGACTAAGGCCCAGTTTAAAAGTTTGTTGGCAGTCACATGTAGTTTAGCTGTTAAATAGGCAGTGTCACATCATCACTCATAAGAGATCCCTTAGTATGGTGAGTGACCACAAATGGTGTCAGAGAGACTTCAATGGATTATTCAGGGAGGACTGTTTTCCCTACTTGTGTGAACTTCCTAAATACTAGGGGTGTGCGGAGCAGGCCATATTTGATTTGGATTCAGCCTGATTCAGGGGACAGTGATTCAATTCACTGATTCGGATCACTGTCCCGACTCAATTCAGTTGAATCCAAATCTGAAGATTCAATGCTGATTCAGAGAATCAGTGATTCAGCCATAGACACAGCTTTAAATGTTTTTTTCTACATACCTCAAGATACCAGATGTGGCTCGTGAACACTGAGATGGTGGGGCAGATGGAGTGTCCTACAGGAGCACGCGGGGGCCCCACCGTGTGCTTGGTGGCAGACCCAGAAGTGGACCAGAAGTGCTTCTGGTCCACTTGTGTGTTCACTGCTGAGTGCGCTGGGGACCTCCTCCCCTCCCATCTCCCCCCCCCTCCCCCCCACCATCCATGAGCCGCCTGGTACCTTGAGGTATGTAGAAAAAATATTTAAAGCTGTGTCTATGTCCAAATCATTGAATCTCTCCAAATTGATTCGGAGGGTTCAATTCAGAGAGATTAAAGGGTCTCCTGATTGGATTCAGAGATTCAACCGCTGAATCGGGCCGAATCTCCACCAATTGAATCAGTGACCAAAGCTTTGCACAGCCCTACTAAATACAAAGAACAAAAGTGGTTTCCCTAGCAATCTTGCTCTTCTAAACAAACTCTTGAACCCCCTGTTTGCAAGGGAGAGATGAGAGAAGTTGTTGCTACTTACTCTGTGGATAAGTTGATAGTGCCCCAATTTGTGAGTACATGTTGTAGCCAGGAGATGGGGACTGCTGTGATGGCATGTTAGGATTAACAGTCCCTGGCATAATAAAACCTGGAGGTGGTGGATTGTCTCCCTGGGAAACAAGATTGCAGGAAAGAGAGAAAGAAAAAAAGATTAGATTTAGTTTGTGCTTGTAAAGAGTTGCTAAAGTAAAATCTTCCATTTAAAGGACTTGAATCACTAGCCAAAAAAAGCAATCAGCATAAACCATAATTATCTTAATCATTCTACTTCCATCATGTTGCCACTTTTGTGAGCCAAACGTTTTGCACCATAAAAAGGGGAACCACAACCAAAGTGACGTAGTGTCATTTAAATAAGTAACTGTGAAGCAGACATTCTTGAAATATGCAGTCATCTATAGAATGAAGAGGTAATATGCAACAATACATGCTTAGTAGGTCACAAAAAGCTGCTGTCTAGATTTTTCAAACAAGATTCTTTTTAAAGTGAAACCTCTTAATCCCAAAGTCAGGGAGCAAGGGGAAAGAAAACTCAATTCTTGCCACACCTGAATTACCCTACAGCCAAACAGAAGCTGTGGAAGTTAACATTTGAGCTCAATTTTATTAGGCACTAGCTGAGTGATGCTTTTGCAAAATTAGCCATCTGGAAATATATTAAGACTCATGTGGAAAAAAAAAATCAGACTGAACTTGAAAACCTGTTTCTGTCTCCCCCAAAAGCACCAGATTGCAGCAAGCACACAAACTGTATACGGAATAATAACTGAAATGGTGCAGGAGCTCAAAGAGGAATAATGAATGTTATACCTGTGTGTCAGAGGGAGAGGCTGCAGGAGGATGGCTGGGAAGGGCAGTAGGAGTTTTGTTACTCCAGGTAGTGACAGTAGGGGCAATTCTAACCTGAATTGAACAAAGAAATACCAATCATGGAAAATAAAATTTTTTTAAAAGCTAAATAAAAATTAAAAATAAAAAAACCCTAAAGGGTATCACAAAACCAGATGCAAAGATGGTTTAGAAGAACTCTGTGAACACACACAATCCAGCACGCCTGCATTTCTAACGCAGCCAGGAAATCAAGTTCAGGGGTAAAAAGGAAAAAGAGCCTATATCACAGCACACCAAAAAACAAACAGAAAAAAGGTTAAAAGTTCTGATTTCAAAAGGGAACCACAGAGGAAAGACAGAGCTCAGAAAAAGGAAGAAAAGTGGGCTGTGGTGTTAGAACAGTATTATACATGCTACTGAAGCCAGGCCTGCTAGAGTGGTAGTGTTACAGAACCCCTTTTTATCACATTTTCATAACTGCTACAAAAACACACCCCAGGCTAAGGTCTCACACTGAGCTGCACAGAAACCAGAGCCTGGAAGTTATAAATGTATAACTAAGTGGAAGTTTACTGTCTTTATGTAAGTGGGGTTTCTTTCATTCAAGTTTAAGACACTCCAAAGTATCTTATTTTAAGAAGTTAATATTTGCAACTCAGCTATTGCACATGCATAATAAGCTTATTTCTTAATGTTAACCCCTTCACACAACAGAATACTCAGAGCCTCCTACTGGAAATGAAATTATCTTTCCTCATCCAAGCTCTCCCTTTCAAAGTCCTTTAGCCCCATACTGAAGTCACTACCTTTCTGACTAAGAATAAATCAACAAAACTTTCCTTGGGGTCTATCTACTTCTTCTCTCCAGCTGCAGAGGTTGAGTGCTACTTAGCAACAGAAGCTACATTGAAAAACTGATTGTGCATTGCTTACTGCATATCAGTGAAGGGAGATGGGAGATGAGACAAAGCCAGATTTCTGTACACAGTAAAAGTCATAACACTAAGTTACCTACTGGCTTGGGAATGATCTTAGTAGAATGAACAGCAGCACTAGACTGTGTGATATTATAAGCCAAACAACAACAAAAATAAGTTTTTTAATAACACCCAAAATACCTATAGGCATGAGTGGCTTACTAATCTATTTGGCTCAATAACTCCTCCTTGTCTACTGAAAAATGGTGTAACATTCCATCAGAGACCATGGCAAGAGAGTAGCAGTTAAACACATGCTCAGTTGTGGCCCTGAATAGGGACAATGGACTTAAATATGTGTTTATATGCTTTTCTAAACAGTGCCAAAATGAACAAACCTCAAGGCAAAGACTCATCTGCTCCATTTTATATTGCTCTGTCTGGTCTACCTACTGCTGCACATCTGTCTGTAATAGCCCCTGTTAATTATGCAAAGGCATAACTGTGCTTTCAACACAAAGTGCCTTCAGGTCAAAAATTCCTTTGCACAATTGTTGGTTTGTGTTAAAACCATAATTTCACTTGAATGCAAGACTGTTATTTTTATTTTTTTCCTTTAAATAGACCAACACAGTTTTCCTTTCACAGCTCTTAACATTAAAGGTTAGAAAGTAAGTGAAGGTCCAGGAGAAACAGAATTTTTCACAGAAGAACATGAAGGTTATTATGACCACAGTATCACCTCTAAATGCAATTGGTTAGAGAAAGGGAGGTAAGAGACAGAACAAAATACCTGGTTTAATTATTTGTAAGACAGTATTTAGAAAAAGATTCAATGCTGTGAAATTTCCATGTATCTAATGAAGTCTCCCCCCCCCCAAGAAAGTTACCTCTGTTTAATCCTACATCAAGGATGTCTTCTACGGTTAGCCAGTTGTAAGACAACTGAAGCTTTGATATATGAAGTAACGCAACAAAGCCAGGCTTCTCTCACCCATCAGCCTTACCTTTCTTTTCCCACCTTCAAGGAAGCAAGTGATTGTTTCCCCGAGGCAATGCAATATGACACAACATGGCCTCCCTCCCCAGCCAAAAAACAAAAAAGTACTGGGAGACAGCAAATACTAAACTCTCCGCACAATGGCCTTAATGCTGGGGAGATAAAGTGCACTGGTCCATCCACATTTCTGGCATCTGGGACTTGAAGGGGTAGCCCACAGGTAGGCATGATTTCCCCCTTCTCTCTCCAGACACAACCCCCAGTCCACATGCTTTCAGTTCTCTCAGAAACAGTTCAAAACAGGTGTATATAGCAGGGCCACCTGATCAGCGCTGTTTTACTAATGATCACCCTGCTGATCACCCTAAAACCAGGAGGTATCCACTACCAGGTGTGGGGTGCACAACTGCAGCTGTACATCCCACACCCTTTTACAGCCGCAAGAGCAAATCCATCCCACACTGTCTGGTGTTGGGCCTCATTAAACTCCATTTACATCCTACTTATTTCTCATCTTCCTTACTGCACTCCCAACAGCTCCCTCCAAAGACAAGGTGAAACTAGGGCATTCTTCTAGTTTATCTCATCCTCCCATGTTCCAAGTGTTCTTGGCTCCATCATCCCAATCCTATCTGTGATACAGATGCTTTCCTTACACTGTTTCCACATCACATGACTGGGGCATGAAGTTTGAGGCGCTACGCTGTACTGGCTACTACCCCTTAGTTCTGGCACCTCCACTCTCTTAATGCCCATCCCTTGTTTTACTGCACGTGCCAACAGAATTGCTCTCTCATACTATAAGTTTGCTACTGCTGCTGTACTGGAATGCCTCAGTCTCATTAACACAAAATGGGCTCCAGAAAAAACAGCCAGAGAGTCTCCAGCTAAAGGTGTGGTGACTGATACAGCTGAGTCTCAAAGACTGCAAAGCAGAGAAGCTAAATCAGAGAATGAGGCAAATTAAAACATTCTCTGCAGCCATATTTAATACTGCAGTATGCTGCATTAAAATCTTCTTTAAAATACAAAGTAATAATAATAGCAACAAAACTAGGCTTCTTGACAAGGTACATGAGAGTTGTTTCCAAAAGAAGAGTAAAGGAGGCATCTGCACAGGTGGAAAGGTGGCACAAATGAGTTTCGATTCAAAAGGACTTGTGGGTATATAGCAAGAATACTGTTCAGATTAACAAAAGGGAAGGGGCGGGAAATGACACAATCCATCCTTTTCAAAATTCAAGTACAGCTTCAGCCTGCCTGACAGAAACCATTTACCTGCTGATAATATTGCTGGGCTGGAACTTGGGGCAATGGCATTTGTCCAGCTGCAGGCCCAACTCTTCCTTTGGGCATGGATTGTCTCTCATAAGGTGACTTTGGTGCCTCTGGTCCCACTGGAAGTTCTCCTTGAGCTTGACAAAGTCTCTCCCGCAACTGCACAATATTCATCTGCAAACAGTAAAT